TGGGGTAGAAGGGTCTGGGCTGGGGGGGCACTGGGGAGAGAGTTGGGAGATGTGGGAGTGAAGTGAGAACGACTGGGAATGGACTGAGAGGGTCTGGGAGTGGATTGAGAGGGACTGGGAGTGACTGGTGTGGCCTGGGAAGGAAGCGCTCGGGCCTGGGAGGCTGAGTGGTGGTGAGGGAAGTGTTTGCTTTGGGTCTGCCTGGCAACTGGAGCGTCATCAGAGACACGCGCTGCCATTGGCTGAGGGGCGGGAGCTCGGGGGCATCGACGCGTGGAGATGCGGGGGGGGCACTGGGAGAGACTGGGATGGACTGGGATGGAGTCTGAGAAACTGGAATGGACTAGGAGAGACTAGGGGGCATTGGAAGGACTGGGAGAGACTGGGATGGACTGGGATGGACTGGGAGTGGGCAAAAGGCCACGGGAACAGGCATAGGGAGGTCTGAGGGGTCTGGGGTGATTCCCAGGGAAGGTTTGAGGGGCTCCAGGGTCATTCCTGGGGCAGGGGCCGAGGGAACCCGCTCTGCCCCACGCTCACCTCTCCTCTCCACGGTGAACGGGGCAATAAGCTCGTAGTTGTACTGGCAGTACCTGTCCACCACAGACCGTTTGTACTCCATCCATTCCGGGTCGCTGTTCCAGTACCTGGCTACCTCCTCCCCATCCGGGGTGTCCCCCACATAGACCCCCACATCGCTGTCGAAGTGCAGGAGCTGCTCCCGGTTGTAGATTTCCCTCTGCACGTACCTCACCCGCTCGGTGCCGTTGATGAAGTGACACTCGTCCTTTGACATCCTCAGGAACACCCCTGTGTGTGCAGGACACGGGTCAGGGGGTGCCCCGTCCCCCCCATCATCCCCCAGCCCCCCACAGCAGGGTGGCAGCTCAGCGGGCCACCCCGGACCCCCCTTTCCCACCCCCCTCTGCCCCACGGATGCCCCAGCACCGGCTCTTGGCTGGGGGGGAACCCCCCCATCAGCCCCCCGGGGATGGACAGGGGGGTTGGGGACCCCCCCAATGCCGATCCCACCCCCCCAGAGCCCCAGGGAACCGCTCCAGGGCTCAAGGGACACCCAGGGACCCCCA